GAAACGTCCGGATTTGGAGTTTGGAGGTAGGGTTTTGGGTTTTAGGAGGGGTTCCTTTAAGGGTTTAGGGTTTAAGGTTTGGGGTTTAGGGTTTAGGGTTTAGGGTTTAGGGTTTAGGGCTTAGGGTTTAAGGCTTGGGGTTTAGGGCTTAGGGTTTAGGGCTTAGGCTTAAGGGTTTCGGGTTTAGGGTTCTTTAGGGCTTAGGGTTGAGGACTTAGAGTTTAGGGCTTTGGGGGTTTAGGGTTCTATATGAGGGGCTCCATGGCACTACACAGGTTGCCCGTTCTGTAAAAATAGTTTAAGCCTTGCGGAAGGTGTGCAGTCTCTTGCTGGGCTTCAGTTGAGAAACTTAAAGCCTTACTACAGAATCAGGAAAGCCGAACTAGTTACTACAACTTCCGATCGTGGCGTTGAGTCCCTTCGGGTCCTCCGGAACGGATAAACATGCTACAGTATGTTAAGCCCCTGTATGGTAGTGAAGGCTGAGTTCTTCAACAAGGGTCCGGCGCGTGCCATCGCCTTGTAACCTTTTCCCAGAGAGCCCAATACCCCTTAATTAAGGAATATAGCTTAAACCATAATATTGAGGCCCCTATAATTTAAGCTCTATTCCTTCATTAGGGGGTATTGGGCTCTCTGGGTTATGGTATGTATTCGGGTCGTACTTCTTTGAGCGGGTCTAGGGATACCTCGATCTCCAGAACCCAGCTCGGCCCCAAACCCCTAAACCCAGCCCCAGGAGCTCTAAACCCTGAAGCTAAGCCCTTGGGCGTAAACTCTACACCCTACAACCCACAAATAAACCCTAAACGCTAAACCCTAAACCCTGAAACCCTGAACCCTAAACCCTGAAACCCTGAACCCTAAACCCTAAACCCTAACCCTGAAACCCTGAAACCCAAAGGCCCTGAAGGCCTTAAGCTCCACACCCTTCTTATACTACCCGGATAGGACCCCCTTTTGCCAAGCCTTCTAGTAGCCTTCGTTGCGCTTGTTTTGGTAGCCCTTGTAAATCCTTGGGTTCCAAAAACACATACTGAAAAGAGCTCTGATGAGGTCCCTTAGCCTGGGGACCCTCAACCCTACGTCCTACAATCCTGGGTTCGAAAGAGGTACTATAGGGGCCTAAATAATTACTAATACTCTGTTGGGGTTTCCTTATTATTATTATTACTAATATTCTAGTATAGCATACCCCAAAACCTTATTATTAATATTCAGGCCTCTCTTTTGCTGCATAAAACTAAACCCTAAACCCTAAACCGAAAAAAACCTGATCAGGTCCTTTTGCCTCGGCTTGCACCCGGAAAACGGAGAGCTGGAGCCGGCGCTGGACGGGCGCTGGGGTTTAGGGTTTAGGGTTTAGGGTTTAGGGTTAAGGGGATGTGTCGGGATGTCCAGGCTTTCGAAAGCCTCCCAAGGTGTTATAGGACGGTGTAGGGTTTGGGTTTTGGGGGTTTCATAAGTTTTAGCCTACGGGTTCGGGGCTTAGGGGTATCATAAGTTTTAGTAAACTGTTTGGGGTTTAGGGGTTTCATAAGTTTTAATATAAGGTTTAGGGGGTTTAGGGGTTTCATAAGTTTTAGTAAAAGGTTTGGGGTTTAGGGGTTTCATAAGCTTTAGTATAAGGTTTTGGGGGTTTAGGGGTTTCATAAGTTTTAGTATAAGGTTTTGCGGGTTTAGGGGTTTCATAAGTTTTAGTATAAGGTTTTGGGGGTTTAGGGGTTTCATAAGTTTTAGTATAAGGTTTTGCGGGTTTAGGGGTTTCATAAGTTTTAG